CTGGATCCACACGTTCTTCCACAGTGGGGACATTGGTTACCAAGTGGGAGATACAAAACTGTGGTCTGGGAGCAAAGCCAATCAAAAAATGGTGGTAAGATGGAGGCAGAGGTTGTCCTATTCAGCTGGCAATTAGTAACAGCATTTTCTATTGATATCTTTGGAAATTGCTAAATTCTTTGCTATAACAGCCTCCCTGTGGCAAGGAGTTCCATAGCTTAGCTTTCCTCAAGTTAAGTATAGACATTTTCTCTGAAGATATTATAACTTGTATGTGGGTCCTGGGCTGCCCAGACAACAAGAGCCCCCTCTTGGACTTGCTGACTTGGTCCAAAGGAAAGGAGAGCAATACATTTTTGTGTATGTGTTGTTTTGTTGCAACTCCTAAAGCTTTCCAATCCTTCCCTCCTCTTATCTTTCACTTTTTGTGATGTTTACTGGTGTTCATATGTTTAACCCTACTTGTAAATTTATATTTATACCGCTTCTTTTTAAATATGCCTCTAGTTGTTCCTACTCACCTAATACTGTTTTTCTCTTTGTATTTCTTATTTTGGCCGTCATCATGGCTAAATCTACATACTTTATTCTATTATCACTGGTTTTTGGTAGGGATTTTCCTCTCCTTCCAAATTTTAGAATCTTGCTGTTGCGTAAAGGAAGAGGTTTTTTTTGTTTTTTTTACTTTATTTGGAATTTCCTGTCCTATTATAGGTAGCAGGAATGCTTCTGGCTTCTTGGGGAAGGAAAGTAGAGCAATACAGTCGGCACCAACTTGGCTGCAGGGATTGCCGGAAGGAAGTGTACAAGACACCATCCAAACATCTTAGGAACTCCACTCCGGATTTGAGTATGGTTTCCTCCTTAGCCTTTTCTTCTCCCAAAGATGTCCCACAAAGCAGCGGGTATGGATTTTTCTTTGGGGTTTTACTCTCTATTTTAGGGAGAATTTGCTGTGTCCAAGGCTCTTAGTGGGATAGGAAAAGTTTCCTACCCCATCCTACCCCACCCCAAACATGCCTCTCAAAGTGTTTTTACAAATCTTCTGTGATTTCATCTCCCATACAGTGGTACCTTGGGTTACAGACGCTTCAGGTTACAGACTCCGCTAACTCAGAAATAGTACCTCAGGTTAAGAACTTTGCTTCAGAATGAGAACAGAAATCACGCGGCGGCAGCGGGAGGACCCATTAGCTAAAGTGGTACCTCAGGTTAAGAACAGTTTCAGGTTAAGAACAGACCTCCAGAATGAATTAAGTTCTTAACCTGAGGTGCCACTGTACTCAATTTATACCTTAATCCGCAGCCATCCCAAACTGTCAGTTTCTTTCAGCCCTTCCCCATGTCCTTTCTCATTCACTTTTTTTCTTCCTGTAACAGCTTTCCTCTGCTATCTCCCTTTGCTTCTATCCCCAGATGGTTTGTTTAACTTTCCCTATCACTTTCTAATTTCCTTCTACACCTCCTCTGGTCCTTTCCCCCTCAGAGAAGAGAGACCTTCCTTCCTCCTCCCCCTCAGAACTCAGACCACCTTGACTCAGCGTGCAAGGAGCTGCTGGTCCATCTGATAGGCTATGGGGCTGGGGCAGGCCAGTGAGGGGGCACTAAGCAAGCTGTGACATTGAGGCCCTCCTGAAAGTGGCCTAAGGCCCATGGTGGGTCCCACTGTGTGAGTATGTGTGCCTGATGCTATGTGTTTGTTTCTCAGAGAGAGCAAGGCACCAAACACAGCTATACCAATTGGTCACTGTGAAGTTCGAGGAAGTTTTCCGGCTTTCTGATACTGTTTTCATAGCCAGGAGGCAGTCCACTGTTTGAGAAACCCCGCTATTGATAAACCTGTACTTACTGCATAGCGTTGACAAAGTAGAATCAGTTGAACAGCTAACAGGTGGTATCGACTTGATTGTCCATCTTTAAATGGCTTATCTAGATCTAACCCAAATGAATATAACCCAGCATGAAAGCTCCTGCCGATTTTGTTAAATCTCTGCAAATTTTATATATTGGCCAAAACTACAATCAGTGAGGGTTTTGAGTTATTATTGCAGTACGTATCTGTAGGAAACTTTGGTCGGATGATCAGATCATAAAGAGCAGTCTGAGCACTAACTGGGTACTATGTGGGAAAGTACCATTATTTTCCATGTTATCATCCACTTTCTTTTTTCTATATTAATTACTCCATAATAATGATCGCTTTCTCTTGCAGTCCCATTAACCTATGTAGACTCTAGCCATATGAGCGCACAGCAATCTTCTGTGTACCTTAAATTGATATTAAAATGACAGAACAACCCCCCCTTTTTAATCACTCCTAACCATATAGATTTTTAAAGTCTCAATAAAGTGTCTAAAAGCATGTTCGAATGTAGATAATTAAGACTGCCATCCTTTCTTTTCAAACATACTGAAACCTTAGATCAATTGACTCTGAGCATGTGCAGAATTTCCCTGATTTTTTTTTAAAGCACTGAATGTCAAACATACAAGTGCTGTGCACTTTTCTTTTTGTGAAAGACACACTCACTGTCTGCCCAGAGATTGTTTCAATCTAATATGGCACTCGTCACATTTTTACTCCTCTCTGGTGCAGGCCAAGGGTGTGGAATCTGTGGCATTGCAAATGTTGTTGCACTCCAGTTCCCATCAGTACCAGCTAATGGCCAGGGATGATGGCAGTTGTAGTCCCAATATCGGGCTGCATGTTCCCCATCACTGATTTAGGGGCTGACACTGAGCTTGCACTGAGTGTGTGTCATTATTACGGTATATACCGTACTTGGCAGAATACAGGGAAAGCTCAGAAAGGTATACCTTTTGTTTAGATATAAAATAAGCTTTATAACAATTATTAGAATCAGAATTGTAGAGTTGGAAGAGACCCCAAGGGTTATCTAGTCCAACCCCCTGCAATGCAGGCATCTCAGCTAAAGCATCCATGACAGATGGATGTCCAACCTTTGCTATAAATTGTACATGATAGATGGATCTCTGATTACATTTCCTAAACTTATCCTTAAACCACTGAAAAACAGGAATTTATCCCATATTGCCACTTATTAAGCATTTACAAATAAGCAATTATTTTTGTGAATATTTTTGGTGTGCATTTTTGTTAACTACACATGAAAACAATGTATAGAATCCTGGTTGTATGGCTTGGATAAAATACATTTTTTCCTCTGCTGTGTAAAAAATTGGTAGCTTCATACATAGATGTTTGATTCTATTTCTGTATGGCAACTTAAAATCAGAAAGGAATTAATTTCACTTGTTTTCTGGAATAGTAGCTGTATTGACCTATTATAAATACATTTTCATATTATTTGAGAGTAACCTTATCAAACCCAGTATTGCTAACTTCTGAGTTGACCTGCATAAAATAAGTATTCTAATCTAAGTTTGCCATAGTAGAGACTGAAACAGGGTAGTCTTTCTTCTGGATTGGATAATTGAGAACTTCATCCTGGGCTATGCCCACTGCCAGAATATGGCCTGGAGAAGGAATGAAGCCCTCAACCAATTTTTTTTTCTTAGACCTGATGTGTATAATTGACATATAACAGTGTAATGCTAAATATATTTATTCAGAAGTCCCAGTGTGCAGCCTAATTTTCAGTCTTGACTGTAATTATTACATTTATAATGCGGCTTTGAAAAATGGCAGATGAGGTGGACCAGCAGCAAACCATCAATACTGTAAAAGAGCCTTTGGATCTCATCAGATGTCATCTCATTTGTAAAAAGGAGAAATGACAGAGTTTCAAGGCAGTTTACATACTTATGACCAGCATATGATTTTCAGTGATGTTGAAGAGACTATGACAACATTTATAATGACATGTCTGTTTCTTCTGCTATTGCACCTTGCAAAATGTTCCAGTCCATCCTTACTCAGCAGCAGTAATCCCATTAATTTCAGCAGAATCTTTCCTAACAGGGGTGCAATTCTGTGAATTACTCCAAGCATTTCTATCTTGCCTTATGATTAAATTTAGTGGGATTGATTTTTGAGTTAGCCGGCACAGAACCAAAGCTGCACGCATGTTTAGGACGGCAGTACTGTATTGGAGACACAATAAAAAAGAAATCAAAGCACGCATTGTATTGTGTAAATTCCAAACACAGGCCAATAAAAGAGACAAAGAAGCTGATTTACCACAGAAAAAGGGAGGGGGGGAAACGAGAGTAAATTTCTGTCAGTTGGTGTCAATTAACAATGCTCCCAAGTAAGACTTGATTATCTGGCCATGTGTGTTTCAAAGGAGTCCTAATATAACCAAGGTAGGATTGGAAACTGCATTCCTTTTGTTATAGGCAGTGCCCGTCTCCTCCCTTCCGGAGACGGAGCGCTCGCATGCAAAGTGCAAGGAAAGCGCCCACAAAAACAAATAAGGCTGCAGTCCTAGGCGCACTTTACAGTACAAGGAAACAAGTCCCGTCGAACTCCAGGGGGATCGCCGCCTCTGTAAGCGTATAGGCTCACGAGAGGGGGCTACAATTCAGTGGCGATGCTTCCTAGCGATCAAATCCTGGTGAATTCATCGGAATTACTTCCGAGTAAGCACGCCTAGGACCGAAGTGTAAAGGCGCTGCGAAAGCTCGCCGAAGACAGGAAACGCAAATAATTAAAAATTGACTTCGGTCCCGGGAATCTTCCTCCATTGCCACCGGCGGAAGTTTTGCATGTTGAATTGCAATGTGAGCGCATCCTCGCAATGTAAAGGGATGGAGAGCGTGCCTGTCTCTTTCAATGGAAACCTGGCTTTGTTTATTATTTTAAGCAATATTTCCTTGTTTTCCCTTCTTATGCGGTTCCCCCTTTTTTTTGTCTGTATCTCCTCTCCTCTCTCTCTTTTTTTCAAAAAAAGAAATTCTACAATGGAGTTTCCTATTGGATAGCCTCGGCTCCCTGATTGATGCCTGCCTCCCATTGGAGCCGTGCAGAAGCTGACATCACTTAGGGAAAAAGGGGCTGGGCTGGAGCGCACAGTTTGTCACCACCCAGCCTCCTTTGCCGTCGGCTGGGTGCAACTTCCATTTTAGGTGTTGGAGCTGAGCGAGGGGGGGAGGGCGAAAGAAAAAGCGAGAGAAAAGGTCCCGCAGGAAAAGGAGGAGGAGGAGGAGCAGGAGATCGCTGCAGCGCTCCTCGGTTTTTTTTTTCGTCGCCTTTTGTGTGTGCGCGCGCTGCTGCTGGTGTTTTTATATATATAAAAAAGCTCCCTTTGAGATTTTTTTCTTGGAGTCTTTAGTGCTTTTGTTAGGAAACGGCACGCTTTTTTTTATTATTTCCCCCTCCCGCCCGCCCTCTGCCTTTGCATTTGCAGCGGGACAAAAAGGCGTCTGGTCCCGTGCAGTCTCTACACGAAGTTGTCAAGCTGAATGATCAGAGGAGGAAACTGAGGAGCACTTGGGTTGGCGGCGACTCTCACGGACGCGAGGAAAGAAAAGCCTGCCTCTTCTCTCCAGCCCCCCCTCCCCGCCACACGCCTCTTTTTTAAAAAAAAAAACCTGTAAGAAGGGAAGAAGTAAAACTTGCTTAGTTAGCATTCGAGAGAGGGGCTGCGCGATTCCCGAAGGGGAGAGTGCGGGGGGCAAAAAAGACAAAGGTAAGGCGGTGCATTACAATAAAAGCACCTCTCCCCTCCCTCCCTTGAAGAAAAACTTTTGTGTTGTGTGGAAGGTGGTGTGCATTGGAGGGCTGCTGGCTCCCCCCTTTCTCCTCCCCCTCCCTTTCTTGTGGCGACTGAAGGAGAGGAATGTGAGGGGAGTTCCTGGGGAAGGAGGTTTCCCTCCCCCGGTTTCCCAAGGTGCCGCTTCGGAAGAGAGGAGAGAGAGGAGTTGGGCCGCGCGCGTCGCTCTCCCTCGCGGCTCCGGTGTCAAACGCGCTCCGAAAGGCACCGGGCTGGGTGGATCCCATTTTGCTTCTCCCCAGGTGCGTTTGGGTGGGGGCCTCTTTCTCTTGTTCTCCAAAGGCTGCTTCGAAACGGACTCCCAAGTGAGCCGCTCGGAACTCGACTCTTCGGGTAGAAGGACGCAAAATTCCTCCTTCGTTTTTTCTTTTTTTAAAGTAGGGGCTGCTAGCCTCCGCCTTTCAGGGAGTGGGGAGTGGGCCTTTTGCCATCGGGCATTGAGAGGTAACTCGATTTTTATCTACTGGTCTAAGCAACCTTGCCTTTGTTTTAAAGGGTTGAGATTTTTCAAAAACGCTGAAGCCTTTTTCGTCGGCTAGCCTTCCGGCGACTTGCGAACTTTTTTTTTTTTACTACTTATTCCCTAAATCGTTAAATATTTGGGGGCGTCTCTTTAGAAGCAGGAATGCTCATGAAACCAGCTGATGCTTAGCCTTAAATTTCATTAGGATGGGTCTCCCACCAGTCAGACGTACCAGCGGCATTCAGGATCTTGGTTAGCTGTACCCTGAAATCTTTGTAAGAAACTTAACTGCATTTGCTCCCACATTTATCCCATCTCTGATTCTTTCATCCATCCCCTCTCTTGTTTTTCCTACTGTCCTTTCCCATTGTTGAATTTTAGGCTGCTTTTGGGCAGAGATGTGCCTCTGTTAACTCTAGAAAAGTGCGCTGATCGGGAATGTGTGAATGCCTGCCCCCCCATAGAACTTGTGATTATATTTTGGATTTCTTACTATTCAAGACAGGAGTTCAAAGGGGGACTCCTGGGGAAAGCATGCTCTGGATTCTGGATCTTGTGGAGGATGTGGATCCCACACAAAGATGCTGACATCCAAAAGCAATTTTCACAGACCACCATACCCGTATTGTGCTGAGTGGATAGAATAGCAAAAGGAGGAGCAATTCACAATGCAGCTGTCGGAGAGAGTTGGTTGAGTTCCTGTACTGTCCGTTCTGTGCCATTTTGTTTCTTCTGCTGTTGCTTCTCCAGGTCCTCTGAGGTAGAGAATCCAGTGGAATTGCAGTACAGTAGTAACCTGCCTTGGCCACCAAGCCCTTAAGAAAGCTCACTCTCTGTGAGGCCCGAACACAAAGACACTTCAAAAAGGAGCAGGGAGGGGCTTTCTGTGTTTGGGTCTAACAAAACAAGACAGGGCAGCTTGTGAGTTCAGAAGTCTTCCTATAACACAATCATATATATCTAAAATGTTAGAAATCCTGGCTTTCTGCCAGTGGGAACAAATGCGTGCAGTAGAAGAGATTGTCCTGTCCTCCAGTACAAAGGAAGTATGGGATTGGCAGAGTGCAGGCACTCTCCCTGCCTCCTTTGAGATCTACAGAGAAATGCCTTAATATCAAAGGACTGGTAGTTATGGGGCTCTTGCCACTATCTCTCTTCCCCTTTTGCTTTGTGGTAGTACCACTTGGGCTGAATATACATTTCCTGGAGAGGTGAGCAGCGGTGAGCAGCCACTGATCTTTTTTATAGTCCAGGCTTTGGGAGAGAGAAGCTCGTGAACAGACTAGCGAAGGTTTCTTGTGGCAGTGGAGATGGATCCTATATAGCTTAGCCCTCATGCTTTTGCGGTGGTCCCTTTGGGGTGGTGGGGAGGGACAAATTGGCGGGTGGTGGGGTGTCACCTAAGCTCCATCTGAGTGGAGTAAATAGATTGAACCAGTGAAAACTCATTGACTCCTTTTCTGCACCTGTATGGACTGAGTCCAAAAATGTTTCTGGCCAGCCTAGTGGATGACTCGGTGGGAACATGAAACCCTTTCAGAAAAGTAGCGCGTAAACACATATGAGTACTCTGTAAAGCTCATGGCCGCCTTTTGAGGAAGCAAAGTTCAGCACTCTGGTACCTGAGTTGCAGACTGCTTGCTTGCACTCTGGGGTGGGGCAGTGTGCTAGGCTGAGCACATGCTGAGGGGAATTTCCCTCACCTCCATTTTAAAGAGAAGCATGACTTCTCAAAGGCCAGCAGTAAGTCGATGGTAGAAAGGCAGCTGCAGCTCCCACCTTAAGAGAAGGTCATAATAAACCTTAACCTCCTGAGCTAAGGAACTTTTTAGGACTATATTGTAGTGGACAGTGTTGCATGTGAATAAGGTAGTTCTGTGTTACTTAGCCAAAAGGTCCCCTGGTTATAAAATCCATAAGAAGTGTCATCTGTTAGCTATATCTGTAGTCAAGAACTGCTTGCTTAATCTCTGCTTGAGATACCTTGCAGGGCTGTTGTGATTATAATAAAATTGAATAACCCCATATGTGCCATCTAGAGCTCCTTTGAGAAAGGGTGGGATGCAGCATGATAAACATGGTGCTGCCATAAAGGGCCACAATCTGGAGATTGTGGGGAAGCTGTGACCTTCCAGTTATTGCTGGAGTACAATTTCCATCATCCCTGAGCATTTGCTGGTCTGGCTGGGTCTGGTGGGAATCTTGAGTCCCATCAACATTTGAAGGGTCACTGGCTCCCCATCACTGATAAAAGGAGCATCAGCCTTGTGCATCTTGGATTTTAGCTGCACTACTGGTTTTGCACACCTTGTGTTACTCTCATCAAGCCCATAGTAATCTGGAATGGACTGGGGACAGGCTTCTGTGCTTAGCTAGCAAGGTTGAAAATTTGAGAGAGGACAGTGATGCAAGGCAGAACAAATGTGTCTTGACAGCTCAGTGGTAAAGTGGGGGACAGGGTTGAACAGGAACAGGCAATAGCAGCGGAACTTGCCATACCACACTTGGTTCCTCTCCTCATATTGGCTCTAGATGGGGATATTCCATTTTTATATCTGCATATAGTGCTCCTAACTTTCATTTTTGAGAAGTGGCAGACCTGGCTGGGATGGCTTCTGCAGTTTTTCATTTGCTTAAATCTTGAAGTGGGCTTAAGTGTGGAAGTGGCAAGCTTGGAAATCTTGCAGCTGCTGAGTTTTGGGTGTGCGGCTAGTTGCATGGTAGAAAGACCTCATCCACAATGATGTTTGTTGTTTCTGAAATGCTGGCAAAGGGCCTGGGTGGACTTCTACTTATTTTTATACTTGTCCTTGAATCTGAAATTTGCCAAGCTAATTATTTATACATGTGGAAAGCAAGTGTCCCTTTGATAAAATGACTTGCAAACTGTCTGTAAATGGAAAAGGAGAGTGTATTGAAAGTCTGCAGGTTAAAATGGCTCCCCCCCCCATGAATTGAACAGTGTTATCTGTGCAGCTGCTGATATCAGTAGTTGGAAGGCCAGATAGGTTTAATGAGTTACTGTGATATTGTTGCCAGCAGGAGCAGTGGGTAGTAGTAGGAGGGTGGGTTGAACTGGCAAACAGGGAGAATGGAGTGAATGGTTCATGATTCTGTAACATGAACTGTGTGAACTTGGCTGTCTTTGTTCTTGCCATAGGATTTTGCAATTGAAGCAGTTGCTTCCACATAGCTCAAAACTGAGTTTGTCTTAATAGCTTGTAAGAATGTTTGGTTGGGAGATCATCCTCTGCTAGGTTCTACTTTAGGTAGAAGGGAAGGTTAAGTGGTGGTTTTATTCATAAGTGTTCTGCCTGATGAAAGATGGTAGTTAATGAATGGTCTTCAGATTCAAAAGAATTTGGAAAGCCTTTGCTTCTTATAAATACACCCACCGACTGCTGTTAGTCTTATCCGGATATCTGTATACTAAAACTGGAGATCTGGAGCTGAAATCCTATAATGTCAAGGAGGTCATTAAGGGATGGTGACAATACCAGTGATGCTTGCACATTCCTCCATGATGAAGTAGGACTTGCTGGGGTGTTGGCTAATCAAGGGGCTTCTGAGTTGCTTTTAGAGCTATTCTGGGTTTAGTGACAGGAGGGGAGCTTGCAGAATAGATCTGGTGGTTGCCATTACCTGAGTCATCAAAGCATGAGCCACAGCTGTCTGACTTAGGGAAGTACAAACCATGGTGGCTTTACCCTCTAGTAGTGTTTCCTATTTTGTGGGCTGTATGCAACCACAAGAACTAAGAAGAAGAAAGTGGGCAGGACATTCAGAAAGCATCGGGTGAATTACGGAAGAGAGCCTGTTTGCATTCATGCCTTGTTATCCTTAACTTCCATTTATTTGTTCCTTGGGTGTCTTATGTCCCACTTCTCCATCTGGTCAAAATTGTAACTTGCATGTTCCTTGAGATACACTTCTGCTGTCTCCACATCCCCGTTAGCTCTTTGGCTATGTGAGAAATGGGGATGGCCATAAAATGCATAAGAAATACATTTTATCAGCCAAACCTGTAGTTAAGAATTGCATACTTATCTCTTTTGTAAAAGCACACTTGAGGATTTTTGAAATTTTATTTTTACCTATTTATCCTGCTCTGCAACATATTCTGACAGGCTGGCACATGTTAGTTCCATTGCAAAACCTCTCATCTGTCATTCTCAAGTGAGACTTTAGCTCATCCACGTAGTTGACTTGGACTTTGGATATTCTGGGTGGGGAACAGAGGACAGTGGGAGTCTTGTGGATATTGTATTCCCAGTATGGACTTGTAAGTGCTGCCTTCTGGCTTCACTTCTTATAGCTGGAACTCTGAGACAGGTCTGGGGAGACAAGACAAGTGGAATGGTGATGCTGGGAGGAACAAACCACTACTGACAGCGAGACCATTAGTTCTCCCTCTTGATTTTCCTGAAACCTAGTTTCAGGGCAAATGTAGGGA